CACCAGCAACGCCGTCCGCGACGGCGACGCTTTCTGCGAGACCGCAGCTTCTCCAGAGACGCCACAGGCCTGGTGGACTTAGATGTCCCATGAATCGTAAGTATTTTAAAATCCACAATATATTATATATATATCTATATATATCTCTATCTATATTATATATATATATATAAATCTATCTATAACCCCGATTTTATCCCATCTACAAATGGGGATCTCCCATCTGATTGGGTTTTTTTGTTCACCCACGATTCGTGGGATGCCCCTGGCGCAAACCGCTGCTTTCATGGTGCGCCTTCAAGGCTTGCAACCATTCCTCTGCGCACGGCAGGGTGGATTGGGTGAAATCCATGGGAATTTCGACTGTGACAATTCCGAAAATGTACAACCCCGGAGGTTTCCTAAAATGAGGCTACCTACCCCTAAATATCATCCATTTTAACAGCATTTTCCCCTTTTTGAACCATCCATTTTTGGGTATCTCCATTTTAGGAAACCTCCATATAATCAAGGGAAACCTCCATATAATCAAGCAACAGGGGTTCAAACCACTCAGATACTGCCTGCAATCAAAGTTCAGCATCATTCATTGGCCTCAAAGGGCTGGAGCAAAAGTCCAAAGGTTGACCTGCACCTGAGGCCAGCAAATACAAGCCCTACAGTTGGCGGCTTGTTGATTCCTGCGAAGAGCAGATCAACCTCACCCAAATCGAGGCAACCCGTTGCCAAGCACAAATCTGTACAATTATGTCTCCATCTGTCTATCTGTTTATCTGTCTATCTGTCTATCTGTTTGTCTGTCTACCTTTCTATCTGTCTATCTATCTATCTATCGGCATGTGTATATTTATATATTCTAGGCATATGATATTTATATGTGTACATATATATATATATAGATAGATAGATAGATAGATACCCCGTACTCTGAAAGCCCATGCGCCACTTTGTAGGGCTCGAAGGAGTGCGGCATCTTCCCGTACCGCTCGGCAGATGGAGTTTGGAAGTTTTGCCTCTCGCTGCAACTTGTGACTGGGGACTGAATCAGTGAATGACCATTCACCAGCTATGACCATTCGGGTACCATCCGGGTACCAGGTTACCGGGGTTTTGACCCAAGAGTCATCAAGTTTTGACCCATCGGCCTCCAGTTGCCAAACGCGTCCATCTGAAAACTTGAGAGCTTGACCTAGGACGTTGAAAAGGGCGTGAAAACAGAAGCGAAAGTCTAAGGTCTTCAGTCACTTCAGAAGCACCTCGCAACCAAAACAAATACTGGGAAGGAAACCATGAGAAACCTGGGAGACACGGAGAGATGTCGCTGTAGGTGGAAAACCAACATGCTTTGCTTTGTAAATGCTGAAACGCCGTTTTGGCCGCAGAAATGGGGTCCTTGGGGGGCCATGTTTGTCGATCAGCTAGGCCACTGGTCACATCCAATCTGGCAATCTCATCTCCGACCTTGGGGAAGTGCCAGGTGAACCAATCCCACCAGAAAACAACACCTAAACTGTGCTGTTGTAGGCACAACACCCGGAATCATCAAAAATTCCAACAAAGAGACGAGCTTGGGATCTTCTAGATCTTCTTGTAGCCGGTGTAGAGCGCACCTCAGAAGCAAGACCTCACTTCGAAGGTCTGGTTTTCACTTTCAGGCCGCAATTCCTTTGGCAGAAATTGAAGAAACACCGGAAAATGTGAAATCTGAGGTTTGACAGCACAAGAAAAGTGACGTGAGACAAGGCGACGTTCGATTTGCTTTTGTTTTTCTCATGTGAAAAGGATGTTGGATGATGTTGGACATGTGAGAACATATGGGTTTTTGTTCACCCGTCTCTCATGTGTTTCTACTGCCAAGTTGGGGACGCTGTCAAGTTTCAACGTTTCCCGGGCTTTAGCCAGGTCCTGTCATCATCCGCTTGATTAAATCTCCAGCCGCGTTTTCACACCATTCGGATGAGCCATGAGTAGGGACTAGCCCCGGAAATCCAGGATCGAGCCAAGTTGCGTCTTCACAGAGAACGCCAAAGAGTGCCCAGGCGGAGGTCGCAAAAGCACCTTGTACTCCAACTGCCCCGGTGGTTTCTGAGACTTGCACGCTGCCTATGTGGTGATATGAATTGTACAATATTCGTAGTAATAAGACTAATAAGAGGAATAATTCCACTCATAGAATCATAATTTATCATGATAAAACAACAAAAAAATCCGGCATCAGCACGGTAAGACATCTCATTGCCCAGTTACCGGTGCCAGTTCCTTGCAGGGATCAGGTACCACAATCTCCACTGTGCCTGCGACGGCTGGATCTGATGACTTGTGTTCCAAAGCCACGAGAAATGGTTGGCACCAGGGGCCTCCATCTTCTTTGCGGTAGACACCCTCCAGACTGAGGTTTTCACACCACGCATGCCCCTGGTGCCACGAAAGGGGTGCAACATGTCAAGCCGTCAAGCCGCTAAACAGAGAGGGTTTGTGGACCTGTGACCACATTTACCTGTTATGATATGATGCAACAAAAATAACACATCATATATTGTGAATTACAGATAATATAATGTAATGTGATTTCATATGGACATATCATATACTATACTAATTATACCATACCATACCATACATACCATACCATACCAAACTATACTCTCCTATAACACAATACAATGCAATACAATATAATATCTTATTACAGCACATGGTATAATATGGTAAAACATAGTTTCCCTGCGTATAAACAAACGTATTTCGCACGTACTTAAACATGTGATCACATATGTGATTGTATATGCCGTCACCCTGCCTACAGAACAACCTATGTTCCCTGCCTCTCTCGGCGGCAACTGCCAGCTCTTGTCTTCTTTCAGACTTTCCTCGTGAAACACAGCTGCACCAAAATACTGCTCACCCTGGGCTCATCCTCTACACTCACCTATTCAGACATGATGTTGGAATAAGTACACACAAAAATCATATGCATGTATGTGTACATAAACACGTATGCATTTAATATACATACGTTATGCGCAGGTCTGAATGTGTACCTGTATCTATTGTGCGTACTTGTTTGCGACATTAATATACATATCTGAACATCTAAACGTACGTAGACGTACTGTACATATGCAGTTGTCTGATCAATATATATATATATATATATATATGTGTATACACATTATATACATACATACATACATACATACATACATACATACATACATACATACATACATATATATATATTTGTCAGGCGAAATGCAGTCCATACACAGCACAGGCCTCGAGGACTACACGTCAGCAGTGTTCGAGTGAACTCTCCCATTTCCGGGGAATACAAGTTGATCCCAATCAGGTATTTTGCCAGTCAATCAAGGAAGGGCCAAAGTGGCGTTGAACTGTTGCAGCTGTGGCAATCTCATATACAGGGTGGTGCACTTCTTGGTTGGAGGGAGAATGTCCATTGTGGAGCTGGCCGATCCGAAAGGGAGCGGAAATTGTACGCAAGGAGTGGGAAGTATTGAATGAAAAAATATGTTCGAGGGAGTCAAAGTGGCGGAGTATGTGGCCTAGGGTGGCCTAGGTATCGTATGTATCGTAGACGTTGAACTGAGATTCATTGATCAGGAGACGAGGTGCATGAACGTAAGAAAGAACGTAAGCAAGTTGAAGAAGGAAATCGTTTGAACCTTCCGCATCGGGCAGATTTGTGGGAGAACTTCTGGTTGAGGGCATTGAATCTGGTGATTTGAGGAGTGGAAACTGTAACTCACTTAACTCACAATCAAGGAGAATTGCCATAACAATTTGCGAATAGATTTAAAGGCGCCGTCGGACCGGCAGAGCAGGATTGGTAAGGACGGGAAAAAGGGAGCGGAAGGCTCCGGATGCCTGGGAATATCTGTAGTTGCAATCAGCATCAGAGGAGCCGTTTACATAATATATATATATATACACACACATTGCACAGAATACGAAATATCACTGCGTCAACATATAAATACACTCACTGTGAGATACACGGTTCTTAGAGTGAATGCAACGAAAAGGCCAGGGTTCCAAGGTTGCTTGTAGTTGATCATGCTCTTCACTATCCAGGCCCCAAGCATAGACCCGCTTCGGATTGAAGACGTCTGTCATGTCAAAAGCCAGCGCCTGGCATTGAACGACACTTCAACCGACACGTCAAAATGGAACCGCCATCCGGGCATGATTTTATTGCGGTTAAACTTAGTGATCAAACAATCCCACATTGAGTCAAGACAACATGTTTGTTTTTACATGCAAGTAGGCTTGTTTTTAGATGGATGTCTATGCCCCCTTTCCAATCAATTCATCGTTCCAACGACCCATCACCTCACCGTGTATATATACATACATACATACATACATACAAACATACATGCATGCATGCATGCATACATACATACATACATATATATATATGATTACATATGTATATATACATATATATGTCATAATTATTATATATATATTGCACAATCTATACAACATGAGAATTGTCGCTGGGATTTCAACTCGAATTGGAAAAGCTGTCAGCTGGTTTTTCGCCTTGTCTGCTCTTTGACACAGCTTCACGGCCTCGTAGGATGAAAAAAGGTTTGAACGGGATTTCATCATGATTCGCAATTAATATTGAACGGTAACGAGGGATAACTAGGCTAATTCCATAGTTTTTAATGATTTATAGTGGAAAATTATATAAGGACTCGGCGGTGGGTTGATCTTGAGAGGAAAGAAGTTCATGAATCGTCCTTGCAAGAACAAGGACTCAACACTCACGCCTTTTCCATAGCTGCGCAAGCATTTTGTTGTTGGGCTTGCTGCCAGCTGCATTCAAAATGGCCATTCCACCTTCTCCAGGCTTTACAGCGCTAGGGCACCTGTCTGCTCAAGTAGCAGAACCAAAGCTGCTCCGGGATTTTGCACATTTTCAAATTACGTACATGCTGAAGCAGTAGGGGAAAAACTGCTAAGGATTTCAA